AATTGCCATATCTCCAAATTCAAATTGCACCAGTCCACAACTTGAAGCCCAATTGCCATATCTCTCAACTGAATTCCAATTCCCCACAATACATTTATGATTTACCCAACCCAGGGTTGGCAATAAAAGATGGCTCGTGGGTGACTTGGACTCGCATTTGGACGAATCCGAGCACGAGCTGAGTGGGCAAGGGCTCTCCTACCGGCGAAAGACTCTTGGGCAAGGGCTCATGAGCCTAAAGTTCACGAGCCCATGAGCTCATAAAAAAATGGGAACAAAAGAGTCAAAAAAAATTTAAAAATAAAAAAAAAATCTTGAGCTCGCGGGCCGAACTAAGCTTGACCCTTGAACACGAGCCGAGCTCTCGTGCTTGAACGAGCTTGAGCTAACAAGTCAAGCTCGTGGGTAGATGGTTGGCTCGGTTCATTGTTATCCCTACCCAGCTCGTTCTACAATATCTCATCTTCTCTAGCCTCTCATTTCCTCTCTTCTCCTTAGTCACGGCCACAAATTGATGACCTAGTGAGTATCGACTGTCCCATTCCGCTTGTGCTTGAACGAGCTTGAGCTGATGAGCCAAGCTCATGGGTAGATAGCTAGCTAGGCCCATTGCCATCCCTATCCTACCCATTCTGCAACTTCTCATCTTTTCGAGCCTCATCGCCTCAACTCTCTTTTCCTCTCTTCTCCTCAGTCACGGCCACAAATCGAAGACCTAGTGAGTACCGACTGTCCTATTCTGGCAAGTGGTTTGGTAATATATAAACATATAAATTGAATGATTTTTGAAAGTTGTAGCACTGTTTTTGTTGAACATGGAGTTTGTGATTAATCTAGTGAAATTAGGTTTTTTCTTCTTCTTTTCATTTGGGTTGAATGAATTACATGTTCTGTATAAATTTATTTGTTTAGTTGAGATAAATCGTTGATGATTCCAATAGCCGCCACTTCAAATTGAGCAAAACAAGAATTGCTTTTATAGAACAAAGAAATTCATCAGATTCCTTTGGGCAATAGCCAACAAGCAAAAGCAGCCACTTCATTATTATTATTTGATTTTTAATTAGGAATGAGTTCGCATTCCAGAAATATATGTAGATTATTTCATATTTCTTTGATTTTTTCAATTGGGTTCTATGATTTTAGTTCTGTGATTTATTGAATAAGGATAAAATCATTTTGATTAGTATAATTAAGCCAAACATGAAAATTGGATCCCATTTTTTGCAATTTGTTGACATTGTGTTTGAAATTGGGATTTGGGAACCATCAATTTATTATTGATGCATAGTAGCTAATATGTATGTTTAAAATTGATTATTGACAGGAAATATTATTCAATAGAACAAATCAAGATACAAGAGCAAGCTATGCATGAGGTGACTGAAAATATTAGATTTCATTCTCAATTCTATGTTAAGTAATGGCTCTCTTGTGATTTAGAATTGTTTATGAAATTAATTGTTGTATTTTTAATGAAAAATGAAATAGGGTATTTATTTATTTATTGATGTATTGAATTTGATTTTATAACAATCATGAAGAAATATTTTGAATGAAATTTCGTGTTTCCGAGTGAAGAGAGCAAAATATTGTTGAAATGAGTGTTCAAGCTAAAATAGATGTTCACGAAGAATCAGAGTATGAAAATGATTAGACTACAATTATAGCAGTGTATTGACTTATTTTTGTTAATGATTGCATTTTAATTTTTTACTCAACAGTACAAAACATTTGGGTCCACCCCTGTTTCTATATGTCATTTTTTTTCAAGGTCTGCAACCATTATCAAGTAAAATTTTATGAAGAAACATAAAATTGTAGTTTCACATGAACAACATTTTTTTTTCCAAAAGTATTAGCACGACATTCCTTAAGAATATTATTTTAATATAGAGTCATGCTTCTTCAGAAGTGAGGAAGAAATATTGGATTAAATTGTTACATCTTAAAAAATAATATTATAATATTCTATTGGAATAGTGTACGAAATAATAAATTACATTTGAGCATACAGATTGCTATCAATTGTTATAGTCAAAATAACCTTTACCATTTTATTATACAATTCAAAGTTCAGAAAATACTAACACTTTTTTTTTTTTTTTATATCCAGGTATCCCAACTTACACCAGACTAAATCCTGGACCCCCAAGACCCTTGCCCCTAGAACCTTGAAGGGGGTAAATCCCGAGTTATGCCTCAACTGGATCACAAGTTCCCCCCATTGCCTGTACACTTCTGCGCACAAGAGACCATCCTCCACAGTGATTGCCCCCATACCAAAGTTTTGGCAACAAATTCCCACCAGGAATCGAACTCTCCACCCTGCCGCTGGAGGCAAGACAGTGTTGATTGATCCACCAATTGAGCTGTACCCCGGGGAGCTACTAACACTTTATTTGAACGGAAAGAAGAGTTCCTTTATGAACTCAAATAGTTAAAAAAAAATCCTTTTTTTCTTTTTTTTTTCTTTTTTTGTTTTGTTTTTTTGTTTTTGTTTTTTTTTTTTTTTTTGGGGTTTTTGAACGAAAGAGAAATTATTTTTCCTTCTTAAACTTTGTTGGATATACATGAGCCGAAAAGATAAATATGTCTTGTTAACACAATTGGCTAGAACGTTGTGTTAATAATAAATTAAAGAAAAAATAAAAGAAAATAGAGATAGTCAATAGACTTTCTTTTATTAAGAACTACTGTTACGTAATTATAAGTTACAATTATAGCGGCAAGATACAATGTTATTGACAAATAACAATTCATTTACCACTGTTCTCTATTTTTTGTGGCTGCCAAATTTTAAGAATCTACCGTTCTGGCCGTGTTTTCACTTTTCATTGTTAAATTAAAATGTTGAATTTACTTCTTTAAATAAAAAAAAAATAAAGAAAAAAATTTGCAATGAGAGTAAGATATTTTTTCAAAAAACCCGTTTGAGTCATATTAATATAAGAATGGGAATGAAAAATACAATCGTTACAAGTCCCACACAAAAGATAGATTTTCAAATATGGTAATTTGATGTGATGGATAATAATCATATTTTTCATTTTAATGAGTACATAATGAGAAACAAACAGGGGCAAAATAATCCCAATTAACACAATCATTAACAATAAGAAATGTAAAATTCTCTTTGTTCTTCTAATCTATTGTTTGTCCTCTTTTAGCAATTATGGCCCCGTTTGGTACACATTAATGTGAAAATGAGAATGAAAAATGCAGTGGTAACGGCACTTACACAAGAGATAGAAAGTTAATTATGAAAGCTTGATATGATAGATAATGGTCATATTTTTTATTTTAATGGACAAAAAATGAGAACCAAACGGAGGCTATATATTACCATTATTTCATATTTGGGAGAATACAATGAGAACATTTTGTTGAAATAATTTATTTAATCAGATAAAAACTAAACTCAAATTTAGATGAGATAAGAAAGTCAAAAATTCAAAATGCGGTAAAAACTAAAAACTGTCACTTCTTGATCCAGCAGTACAATATCTTGGAGAAGCTGCAAATGATCTTGGTTTTGAAAAATTTTATCAGAAAAAAGTTTGTTTCCTGCTTAATATAATGCCCTTATTGAAAATCATAATTTTTTTTTGTCTTTTACTTTACTTTGTTTTCAATCACACAAAACTCATAAATTATCCTCCAATATTTTATTCCTTACATTCAATCCGTTAATAATAGTCTCATTTGTCCTAATGTCGGTGTAAACAAAATAATATTAAATGGAGAGAAAATTTTCTATAAAGAACAAGGCAAAAGCCACTGTGACAACCCCCTAGACGTCCAGAGGGTTGTCATCCAAGAATAACTCAAAGAACAATTCTGAAGTTAAGATATGTTCCACCAGCCTACGTGTCATTTTATGACTCATTTAATCTTGCTAGTTTTTTTCTGATACTTGGGTACTATTTAGATCGATTTTGTAACACCAATAATATTAAATAACATTACTCTATATTTTAACACAACTATACATCACTTCTTAACAAATGAAAATACCAAAAATGAAGTCAGGAGGACAACCTCATTTTCTTTCCTTTCTTTTTTTTTTTTTTTTTTTTTCCATTTTTTTATTTTTTTTTTTTTTTATTTTCTTTTTTTTTTTTTTTTTTTTTCCATTTTTTTATTTTTTTTTTTTTTTATTTTCTTTTTTTTTTTTTTTTTTTTTCCATTTTTTTATTTTTTTTTTTTTTTATTTTCTTTTTTTTTTTTTTTTTTTTTCCATTTTTTTATTTTTTTTTTTTTTTATTTTCTTTTTTTTTTTTTTTTTTTTTCCATTTTTTTATTTTTTTTTTTTTTTATTTTCTTTTTTTTTTTTTTTTTTTTTTTTGGGTGGGGGGTACTAGGAAAAAACAGGACTTCGGGCAACCCTTGTCTCCCTCCCTTTGCCATTAGAAAAGACGCTAAAACACATTTTTTGACACTTCATCACATTACAACTTGGCGTCTCTTGCTAAGAAGAGGTGGTGTGACTAGATATAAGAAATGTATTGCAACTAATCTGCGTTCACAATTTTGAGTCGACTTACAAAAATAATTCCTCTTAAAGACAATGTCAAAAGAAAACTGTTTTTCCACAAATATCTCTCTTGAAATTGTAAAACTAAACCCAAAAGATGATGATAAGTCTCATATCTTTGGATACCCAATTCAAGTCCTTATCAATTAACCAATTCGCCATGCATATATTCTATGAATAATCCGTAGGACCATTCCGCTGCAAAATTGTCAATAATCAGCCAATACTTCCAAATTTCTCTTAAATGATAATACAAATGTTGTTGCTCTGTCATGTTCATCAAAGGTTTGATATGAAGTCACTTTAAAGTCTAGTCCGTGTCAACATCTAAAATATGGAGGCCCCCCTCTTTCACGAGCATCTTTGACAGTACCATAAATGATTGTGTTAATGAAAGAACCATTGTAATGTTAGGAATGTAGCTCCACTAGTACCTGGTATCACGGGGGAGTGTCTTTCAAATAGGCACGAGTAATTCAAGTTTAATCTAAAGTTCGTTCAAATTCTGTGTGAGACTCAATCTTGAAAAGTCGTCGTGCTATGAGACTCAAGCTTGAAATCAGTAGAAGAATCAAAAGTATGGGTTGTTCGCAAACTAAGGAAAAGAGCAGCCCTGGTAAGAAAGCGGTGGAAGGCTTGAAAAACAAGGTGAGGCTTCTACAGGGGGAGATCAATGAAATAATGAGCATTAGAGAAAGTGAAAATCAAGCTTACCAGTGCGAGTTGATGGTTTTCGCATTTAAACAAGCTGAGTGGAGGAGGGAAAGGAGGAGATTAAAAGATGAGGTTAAGAAGTTGAGGAAGAGATTAGAAGGAAAAAAGGAGAGGTTGAGATGCACGGAGGAAAGTGTCATGGTGAATGAAAAATATAATAATGAATGGCTAATATTCGACAAAAGTTCCATTTTAGCGCATATCAAGGAGAAACAAGCCAGGCGAGAGGAGACTGTCGAGAAGTGGAAACAGCTATATTTTGCAATCAAGGTTGAGCTTGATGACCTTATTCAAAGGACACATCAAGGTAAACCCACAGTTCCCTGTCATCTGCATTATCATCATTATATAACTACATATGACCATATTAGGGGCTCCAGCATCCTGTATTTCGCTCATGGTACATTGCTGCCATGGAACTGGCAACTTGAAAATGGGATTAAAGATGATCCTTTCGTTTTAAAAAGATTTTTCATAAGCCAAACATAGCATTTCATCAACTAAACGCCCTATAGGATGTGGTCAATTACCCCCACCTTCTTTGATCCATTCGAGGCATCCCAACCTCATCTAGACATGCTTTCAAGATTGCCTACCCTTAGCTTTATGGGGTTTAATGGCTGCTCCTCGTCATTTTTCCGAAGTTGGAAGTGGAATTGGTGTCTACTGTTAAGGGAATTACTCATCTTAATAAGTTTAACCTTTCAAAATGGAACTCCAAATCTTAATATGATATCAGAATCTATTAAATTTCAACAAGCAATTCAATCCAATTAAGATTTTAAAAATTAGCAACTGAATTTCAAAATTGGTTTGCTCAAACGAGCCAACATCTTACGGGGGTGTATTAAAAAATAAATCCCACATCAAATAGAATGAAAATATAAATCGACATAAAAGGACTTGGACTATTCCTCTTAATAAAATTAACATTTTAAGATGGAATCCTAAGTCTTAAATATCTACCCCTCCAAAGATGCAAATTCTGGGTTTTACGCTTGGGCATTAGGTGAAACAATCCAGGTAATTCAATACCCATAACCATCCATTATGCTTCTGGTAATTCGCAAATAGAACCATTCAGGTCTTTGTGAATACTGAAACCAAACCCAAATCTGAACTATCGATTTCGATTCGATTTGGTTTTACCCATAGCATTTTTATATACATTTATTTACTAAATATTTCACATAAACCCTTTTAGTATATATACCTAATACACTGCTACTCGAAAATATTTGTGCAATGAAGAAAATTCAATTAAAAAATCTTCAAGGAGGAAAATATTGGATATTAAACGAAAATAGGATAAAATAAAATAAAGATCAAAAATGAAATTAAATTTGAGAAAAAATTATTTTTCATCATAAATCTTATTCAATTTATAAGAGAGACATAGTAGACATATAATTTAATTATGATTAATGCTTAACTTCTTCTACTTTTAAAATGAATTGATATAAAAAATACTAATTATATATATAACAATATAGTATCAAAATATTACAGTCTACATATTGAACTCACTCTGTTTGAATAATATATATATATATATATATATATATATATATATATATAAGAGAACCACGAACTTAAGATAACAAAAATGTATAACACAGCGCAAGCATGAATATATCAAATTCAATTATCACGCGTTATGAAAAATTTAAAAAACCACTTGTTATTAAAAATACAAGAAAGTAAAAAACTTGAATTGCAAAAAATAAACGCTTTAATTTATCAACTTATACCACAATCTGTTTGAAATTTTTGATTTATAAAAAGATCAAATTGTAAACATTAACACAAAACCTTTGAAATGCAACAATATGATGTAAGATGAGATGTAAAAAAATAAGAGTCAATCTTAATTTTTAGGGTTAGAGTTTAAAGTTTTAGACTAATTACTGCCAAAAGTAATATATATATATATATATATATAAGAGAACCACGAACTTAAGATAACAAAAATGTATAACACAGCGCAAGCATGAATATATCAAATTCAATTATCACGCGTTATGAAAAATTTAAAAAACCACTTGTTATTAAAAATACAAGAAAGTAAAAAACTTGAATTGCAAAAAATAAACGCTTTAATTTATCAACTTATACCACAATCTGTTTGAAATTTTTGATTTATAAAAAGATCAAATTGTAAACATTAACACAAAACCTTTGAAATGCAACAATATGATGTAAGATGAGATGTAAAAAAATAAGAGTCAATCTTAATTTTTAGGGTTAGAGTTTAAAGTTTTAGACTAATTACTGCCAAAAGTACGATTTTTAGATTTTATATGCTTTTTCAGCCTGTAAATTGTAAATAAATTTTTTTTATAAAAATTGATTCTATTCGAGTACCCACTATTCTTGTTTAGGATCCAAGAACGAACCGAACTCATTTGGTTATTGGTTATTGGTTCTCGGTTCAAGTTCCTAGTTTATTTTTTCGGGGAACCAGATCGGAACCTCCGATTCCAGTTCGGTTTCAATTCAGGAGATTCGATTCCGATTAAAATGCCCAGGTCTAGTGGGTTTCTTTATAGTTAGTTATTTGTATTGCTGCTTTAGAGCTTGACATGTAATTTATTGTGTATTCAGTTCTAAGGCGTGACCACCAATTTAATATTTTGAAAGGATATTATCTGGTGTAACTGTTTCCTACTACTTTGGATGTTATATTTATCATTTTGGTTCAAGAAGCTAAGAAAATTCCGACTATATTTTCATATTCACTTCCAAGTTCAGGTAAATAAGCAGGAATAATCAACGTGCAATAAACCTAATGTAGCGAAGAGATATGATTTATGCAGATCTCAAATTTATGAGGAACAAGGCATAGTTAATCAGTTGTATTTCGGTTGTTTTGTAGAAGAAAGACTTTGTTGGAAAGGCAAGGAAGAAGAAATATTGTTGGAGATGGAAGAGGAACTAAGAGCCAAGGAAGAAAAAATTGAATTTCTGCAAGCAAAGTTAGATTCATTGAAGCAGCAAGAATGCAAAAGGGAGAGAGAGATTGACATACTAAGACAAAGTTTGAGAATTATGAGCCACAGGAAGAAGGCAATTCCAGCTCTGCATCAAGGTCACAACCGATATCATCCCCAGTATCGATCCAGGCCAAAAATTATTCCATGAATTTACTACATATGTAAAACAGCATATATTAAGTGTTATATGTGATTATAAGATGTTCAGATACTTCTGAGGTCCTTTAGGCCATTCTACATATCTAAAAACCTGTTTTTTAAGTACATCTATTCAACTTTCTTGTTGAGATAGCTTAATGTTAATCGACTGATAGTAAGATTCCTTGTATTTCACGAAACGTAAGTCAATAAATTGAGAACTGGAAAATCATTATAACAATTTTCTTAGTTTAGATTGCTCGATGTAGTTTTTTTTTTTTTTTTTTTTTAACAAGAACTCAAGAATTCAGAATAGACATCTGAAGTAGACATGTGATGACTAAGATTCTAAAGAGCTCGACTGAAAGGGAATAAGAGCGAAGATTTGGTGGTTGGGAATGGAAACAGGTACCAACATAAATATCTTGTGTTCAATGGGGCCATGTACATTTCTTCTTCCTGACTTTGTAATTCGTATATTTCTTTAAGTATGTGAGTAGGTACATACACTTTTTGTTGGAACAAGGGATGCTCCGGGTATTATGAATAAACCTTGGCCTAAAAATCGTGTTATTAAATACACACCCCAACTTTTACGTAAAAGTAGAGGTGTAAAACAGGTTGGACTAGACCAGACCAACATGGCCCGCTTTATGGGCAGGGTTGGCAGGCCGGACCAGGTCAAAACCGTGACGAGTCACCTGTGACCACAAAGGCTCAACCACTTTTTGACCACAAATGCAGAGATCACAGAGCTGTAAGACCACATAAGGTTGAATTTAGTATTTTCTCAGTCTCTAAGGCATGCTAGAGAAAAAAAAGTAACTTGTAACTAAAGATTTTTTAATCATTTGAAGTCTAAAAGATGCAAAACTAGCCTATGATAACTTAGAATTAACTATAATGCATGAATTCATATTTATACTGCTTTCACATTTTTTGAATTTCATTTATGAAGTAAACATGACATATATAAATGAAGACGAATACATAAAAAGAATCAAAACCCAACAGGCACTATTCATTAAAAAAGGAACAATGGATAACAACTTGCACGTAGATGTACATATTAGCACACGAAGACGTAGTAGCGCAAGTCATAACACATATAATTAGTACGGACGAAGATTTATACCTACTTTATATACAGATTTCTAACCATCATTAGATTTGTAAGCAAAAACGGAGTCCATGAAAACGATCCTAAACCTGAATTTAAGCGTGTGAAACTAATTGATACTTTATGCACTATTACACTGTAAAGTCAATATTCATTTGGTCATAAAGTTCACTACCGAACAATAATACATGAAAAAGCACTCGAAGGGACATGAAAGATGTAAAATTCATATCCTTCTAAATGTCTGAATGGTAACCATGTAAAAATGAGGGTAGGAAAGAAGTTATCTACCTTTGGTTTTCCATACAGTACTCCTATACCATCAAAACTACCACAGACAATTTCTTTTAAGCTCTCGTAAAGATCCCACATCTACTGGTTGGGGTCTTTTATGGTACTGTCAATACTGCTGTAACATGTTCGGCCACACTGGATAGGCTTAAAAGAAAAAACAAAGAAGAAGCCAATATATTGTCCATCGTACTGCAATACTATCTGATGGTGTGCACCAAAAGGTTTCACAATGCCGTTTTACCAATCCAGGGATATCAAATATATCAAACTCATGCTTATATCAAGTGTGTCACTTTGATATCAAATGTAATCATATGACCTTTGACAAACTCAAGTAATGTGGAGCTAGCGTTATGAGTAACTTACAAGGTTCAACCACAAAAATCTCAACATGGAATCTATCAAACAACTAAATGTTGTACCAACTTATGCAATCAAAAGCTGATTCCTATTTGATATCTAATCGGACTCATCTGAATGTACGACGAGTACTTTTTAATTGGTCCAAAGGGAGGTTTTCTAATATTTTGCTTTCCTTATTAGATAAAAGATAAAACCTTCACGTGTTCAAAAGAATAAAGTTACCTTCAAAAAAATATCATCATTTCATAATTAACTGCGTCAATGTTATGAACATTTTTTCTGTTCATATGGAAAGAGTTAACGATTCATTCCTTTGATAGTTTGTATCCAACATTATAAAATTGCGAAATAAAAAGAATTAGTCAAAATATTGATAGATTTTGTTAACTTAATATCAACAAATATCATAAAATTTATTGTGTGTGTATACAAATATATATACATTTCTCATGCACTGAATATAATTTGTAACAACAATTTTCAAAGCAGTACCGAAGCAGATCTTTTGAACATAATTTCCAATTAAGATACCTGAGACAGTTTTATATTCGGTAGAAGAAACTGCACTTTCCGATGTGGTAAACCATATGCAAGAATTTATGAAGGCAGATTTATGTGACTTATTGGGGCATATTTGAACATCCTTCTTAAATAGATAACTTTTGGTCTTCAACTGGTTGTGACACGTTCGATCTGACATTCTGAAACAGATGAATTAACCATCAGATATTTACACTTGCAAGTAACACAGAATCTCAGTCTCTGAAAAAAATTGGTACCTCTAGCAGTGAAATGTAATAGAAATCCTCCATATGCTGCATTAGTCCACTTCCATCTCTAATGGACCGGAAAATATTTATCTCTGTGTTCAAAATTTTCTCAACAAGTTCTTTCTCACCTTTCATCTGTTCGCCACCAATAAAAGACGCAACATCAGAATTCTATATTTAGAAGCGTAATGGCAAAGAGCTAGGTCAACGACTAAGAATCGTTATCTTTGATAAGCAAGTTCACAATTCTATAGATGCATGCCAAAAGATGCTGCTACATCTCTCAGGTGAAGTGTTTATAAATAAATAGTTAAAGTTCAAAAAAATAAAAATAATAATAATTAAAACATCAATAATTTCATTGAAAGACAGAAAAATGATGAAGTATAAGACCTATTTAGAAATTTTGAGCTAGAAAAACAGCTACAAGGATTGGGTTATTCTGTCAGCAGCTGACATGGAGTACACATGCTAACACTCCAATTACTTGTATTTTAAAGTCTATTTCACCTGACTAAAGACACTAACAAACTACAGAAACGCGTGACTATTAAACAGCCTCAAATGCATACTTGACACTACTACTTTCTAAGAGAGTTACCAGATACGAGTCTTTTTATAAATCATTTCAAGGTCTACAGTCACAGGAAGAGATGCATATGGGCACTTCTATATATAAAGATAAGTCACAGAAGACACGTTTTCTTCACCATTGTCCTCAGCCCCCGTTGTCAACACACAATCTTCACAGGTCAGTTAATTCTCAAGCTTCTCTTATCTTTTTTGTAGTTCTTTATTTACATTGGAAATATCAACTTTATCTACCATGAGCCCATATGAAACTGCGAAGTGTTCATTAACCATGAAACCTAACAATAATGATTCTGAACTTTTGGGTGAAATAGAAAGAAGAGGTATATGGTAAAAGCCAAGTTTACGATAAAAGAATAGGACAAATGTATATGCTCAAAGTATGAAGTCAAGTTAGCAGGACGATATGATGCACATGTCCGTTTTCTTAATACATGCATTATAACTAAAATCACATAAAACAATAAACTGTTATAGGTATCACTTTATACTTGTTGAGAAGGACAGTGTCATGTCGACTATCAACATACCACAACTTCCTTTATCTAAGCTCAAAACTGGCTACATAACATCGACAAGAGGATATCACATGAATTGACGTTAAATTAAGAGAAAGACAACTTGGATGGTTGGAACATGTATTTTGTATGCCTAAAGAAGCTATTCACAGACCAAAATGGACTAATGTTGTTGTAAAAGATTTTATTTTCATTACGTGCATGTTTGGTAAAGCTTTTTGTAGATTATAAGGTGTGGGTCCTATGAAATATGTGGATAAGAGTAGTGGGTCCTAGGAATGCGATAAAATAATTTTTGACTAGCTTATAAGCTTGAAAAAGCTTTACCAAACATACTCTAAATCGTTTAGGAAGTAGTTACTGGTAGATTGAATGAAGACGAAAAATCGATTCATATGGTTGACTCATATTTATTGGAAAATAGGTTTTGTTTGTTGTTGCTGGTTTACCACTTTAACACATAATAATGTACTTTTAGCACACTGAGAACAATAATGGCTAACAGGCAAACGAAGAGCATGAATATGTTATCTTAAACATTCAATAAAAATTTTGCATAGCAAATATTATTAAAAGGCAAGGGGAAATCTGAGAGGTAAGGGATTCATAACAACAAGAGGTACAATTAGTAGTAGGACCATACAAATTCACTGACAAGAACATCAGGCGTCGCTTCTCCAATAACATCACCTCTATATCCATCTTCCAGAATATCCATATTTTCCTGAAATAGTTCCACATTTTGGATAAGATTATCACTTCACCAGAAAAAGAAAGAGAAGAAAAGATGTTAATAGATGCCATAACCAGCAATATTGACAATAATAGATGATTTGTTTTTTGAACAAATCGGATGAAATTCATCTGCCTTCAATGAACATATATGGGATGTTGGAAGCATGTGAATTATGCTTGATGACAAATCAGGAGATTCCTGAGGGTATGAAGGATTTAATGTGTTATAAAATAGGGAAAATTCAAAATGTTCCAAGTCAGGCTTAATTAATTATGCAATAGGCTCCTCAACTCATCATTTGAGAAAAAATTGAAATGCTTCTAATTTTTTCAGAATTTGCTTTTGAGTTAACAAATCACTTCAGCTCAAATTCAACTTTCAAACCCACTTGGAAGGTGAATAGTATTAATTTTACTAGAGATATTTCATAAAATGTTTAACCAATGATCAACTAGGTAAAAAATACTATTTCACAAGGAAATTATAGGTTGCCAATTATGTAAATATTTTTGAGAATAATAGTTGCTATGCTGTCAAAATGAAAATCCCTAGAGCCAGCTACTTACCATTGCGTTTTCAAGTTCTCCAGCTGCCAAATAAACAGGTTGAGCTACATGGCAATAGCCCATCAACCGTGGAACTGTTGGTATTATGTCCCTATGATTTACAACACGCCAACTGTCCTTCACTTTCTGCTATCCAAAAACGAGTTTAAGAGAAATTCATCCCATCATCCCTTATAAGGTTCAAGACTTGAAGACAATGGATATCAGCATTAACTACTGAACTCTTTTTGAAAGAAGAAAAATACGTAGGCTTCCAAACTAATCTCTCAACTCAGTGTCAATCACAAGACTGTATAACATCTGTCATGCAGTTCAACCAACACAAGCGATCAAAGGTAATAGTGTCATGAAGTCTTGCTGACTGTTTGCATTGCACGAGCGTGTTAACGCCCCTAATGTTTTCTCCCTCTCAATTAAAAAATGGGAAATCCTCTTATCATAGAAGTTTATTATTTTCCCTCTTTCCCCTCCCCATCACAAGTGATACATGGGTAACTGCAACAAGATCAACACAGTTGCAGAGGCATCCATGACGCCGACAGAAGGAAGAATTATTGAAGGGTGGGAGGGTGGCAAGAAACAAGTTGGTGTTGTTGCATAGGAGTAACTAGTAAGTTCAAGAGTCTTTTTGAAATATTCTGTGTGAAGAGAGTAATTTTGTTAAAATTTGGATTTGGTCTCAGGTGCAGAAAAAAGAAGTGTGAAGAGAAAAATGGGCCTGTGAATAGTAGCTCTACATAAAATAAAACCATGAAAATTACCTCATTATAGACTTCAGCAAATCTTCTGTTTCCAACTCTAGGAGATCCAAAATTATACATGGTCACAGAAATATTTCCGTGCCTATTACAGAGACATAATTAAATAAATAACATATACAAAAACTACCTTCGTCAAAAACTAACACAACCATTTATGAAAAATGTAATATTTAACAGAGGATGATGGCAAGGAATATATAAAAAATGTTGTTTGGTTACATAAATTTGGTACTTCACAATGTGCGTTAATTCCACTGTGATTTTTGTAAACTTGCTAAACATTGTTTCATTTCCAATACCTGGTTTTGAAAATTCTTCTCCATTTAGTTTGATCCACTATGATGTTTGTGATACCTCCCTTATTGCTAATATTTCAGATGCTAAATGGTTTCCCATATTTACTCATGAAGGCACCCATTCTGCTTGAATTTAACTTGTGAAATCGAGATCAAAGGCTAACCACACTTATTCCTAACTTTTGGGAATCTTCCCCCAAAAGTTTACAGTTGCACCTCATACATTCATATTTACAATTCAAGAAGTATACTCAATCCTATGGCTTTTAATTGCAATTTCCAAAGTAGTCTGCCACAAAAAGGTGTATATTGTTGTCACTTGTCACCCACCAACTAGGAAAACATGTCATCATTGATGTATCCTTTGTGTTGAACATTCTCTTCAAGGTAAGGTAACTACTTCAATTGTCTATGTAAAAGATATTTTAGTGACCAGAGATGATTAAAGGGAGATTTAAGTAATAACAAACTCAGCCTTTTCCACAATAAATACTTAGTAAAGAAGTTTGAGCTTGAAGACTTACATACTCTAACCATCATGATTGCATGAAGCATGTGGAGATTGATCAACATTTCATCAAAGAAAAACTTGAAACAAATTAAGTGTGCATGCCTATGTGTCTCCAATGTACTAACCAAGGGGTCCTAGTTCAATATTTCATCAAATCTTAGAAAAGTTTGGAATGCAAGATACACTTGCATCTCCTTAAGGGGGAATCTGAAATATTTGATCATTATTATAGCTGATTAATTTACCCTTTCTATATGTACTATAGACAATATGCTAGATGCCCACTTGGCCGTTTTCATATTATTCTTACAAATCAGATGTCTAATTAGACTATGTTTATTCCTTTATTTGTCATAGTATTGCCAATTCTTGTACTTTTAAAAGCCATGGACACATTCAAATCTTCTCTCTGCATTCATTAACAATAATGGAAAATGTTAAATACTTGAAATATTTCAATTGACCTCGTAAGGAAAAAGCATAAACTTAGAACAATTTAGAAATTTCTCCACAGTTGAGACCAATGTGTAAATGGAAACATCTTAACTTAAAAGAAAGAAAATAGCCAATAAAAACAAGGGAGAATTTGTACATGAAGGGTCTAAAACAGAGGATGAAAAATAGCATCTTTGTAACTTAAGAGAAGCCTAACACCAATTGTAGGTACTTTGACAACAACGAATATCTTGAAGGAACTAGTTCTACTTATTGCCTTCTTTTTGGAGAGGACATATGTTGTGCATGTGGTTCATATAGAGTGGAACACATATCCTCGATCAAATGGGCCGATGCTGGCGTGAAACGAAGTGGAGTGAGAGAAGTGGAGCGCATCGAATGGAATGGAGCGGGTTTAATTCACTGTCTGATTGTTAGGGATGTTGAATGGGTTGGGTACGGTATAAGGGTATTTTCTGTACGAGCCTTAAAGTCTTATATGGGCTCAGGTCAGGGTTAGTATAAATAAAATATTGTAACCCTATTTTACATAACTGAATAAAGAAATCTCCGCTTTGCTCTCGTGGACGTTACGCACACCGCCGAACCACGTAAAATATTTATGTTGATTTTCTTTTTTCATCTCTTTAATATTGCGCATAAAATCCAACAACTGGTATTAGAGCCAGGTTCAGATGGCGAGTTCTTCGATTGCAAAATTCGATGTGATGAAGTTTGACGGATTTCGGAACTTCGGATTATGGCAGCGAAGGGTGAAGGATTTGTTGGCGCAGCAAGGGATGGTGAAGGCACTATCTCAGGAGGAAACCAGAGGGTACGTCAGATGTCGATTGGGAAGAGCTCGAAGCGCGAGCAGTTGGTACAATTCAGCTTTGTTTGGCGGACGAAATCATGTATCATGTCATGGATGTTGAGTCTCCGGCAGAGGTTTGGGAGAAATTAGAGAGTCGTTATATGTCGAAGTCTCTTATGAACAAGCTGCATCTGAAGCAGCGGCTGTACGGGCTGAAGATGTTGAGTGTACGGATCTGATTCAACACACCAATGTGTTCAATCAAATCATCAGCGATCTATTGCGACTTGAAATCAAGTTTGATGATGAAGACAAGACAATGATCTTGTTGTGCTCACTTCCTCCTTCGTACGACCATCTGGTGACCACGTTGACATGGGGTAAAGAGACTCTCGAATTGGAGGAAATCACATCAGCCCTGTTAGCTTGCAACTAGCAGAAACTGCGTACTAGTGAAACTTCACAGGGTGAAGGGTTGATCGTAAAGGGCTACCAAGATCGTGGGAGAAGGAAGGACAAGGGTGTTTCTTTTAAAGGGAACACAAGATCAAAATCTAGGAATCAAAACAAGAAAAACGTCAAGTGCTACAAATGCCATCAAATGGGCCACTTGAAGAGAGACTATCCCAATAAGAAGCAGAGTGATGAAAGGAAATGTGATGGTCCTCAAACTCAGCTAGTGTTGCAGAAGGAGACTCGGATTCTGGAGATGGAGATGGAGATATGTTATCAGTCTCTGCAGGTAATTCTGTAAAATTAAATCACTGTTGGGTACTTGATTCAGCCTGTTCATATCACATGTGTCCTCATCGGGATTGGTTTCATTCATATCGTTTGGTAATTTTGGATCTGTTCTGATGGGTAATGATGCATCATGTAAGGTCATTGGAATGGGGTCCATAAAATTTAAAATGTTCGATGGTGTGATAAGAATCTTGGAAAATGTTAGGCATGTACCTGAGTTGAAAAAGAATCTAATTTCTTTAGGCACTTTAGACACAAATGTTTACTCTTATAAGTCAGAGTGTGGAACGCTAACAGTGAAGAAAGGGGCTATGATTGTGATGAAGGGTCAGAAATTAGTAGGGAATATCTACAAACTACTCGGGGATACAGTTGTAGGTGGAGTTGCTACAGCAGAATCTGAGTCGGATGACACTCTTCTATGACATATGCGACTGGGGCATATAGGAGAACGTGGCATGGTTGAACTTCACAAGAAGGAATTTGTTGAAGAGGGTAAAATCATGCAAGCTGGATTTCTGCAAGTTCTGTGTACTTGGAAAACAGTCTAGAGTACAGTTCAAGATGGAAAAGCACAAGATAGAGGACATTCTTGATTACGTGCACTCAGATGTTTGGGGACCAATGAGGGAGTTGTCCAAAGGTGGATCTCAATATTTTATTACTTTCATTGATAACTTCTCTAGGAAGGTTTGGATATATTTCATGAAGCACAAGTCTGAAGCCTTTGCCAAGTTCAAATTATGGAAAGCAAAAGTAGAAAACCAGATGGGCAGAAAAATTAAGTATCTGAGGACAGATAACGGTACGGAGCATACAGATTCACGATTTCTGAAATTCTGTGAGGAGCATGGTATTCAGCCGCACTATACAGTTCGCAAGACACCGCAACAGAATGGTGTAGCGAAAAGGATGAAGAGAATAATTGCAGAATGGGCAAGATGTTTGAGGCTGAATGAAGGGCTCTCGAAGAGCTTCTGGGCAAAAGCAGTGAACATGGCATGTTATGTCATAAATAGATCACCACGAGCAATACTAGATGGGAAAGTTGCAGAGGAAGTTTGGACAGGTAATGAAGTTGATTATTCTGAAATGAGAGTATTTGGTTGTCTGGCTTATGTGCATGTATCTAGTGATCAGCGATCCAAACTTGATCCGAAATCAAGAAAATACATTTTTCTTAGCTATGTAAAAGGTGTAAAGGGATACAAGTTTTGGGATCCAGAGGCAAGGAAGATGGTGATAAGTAGGGATGCAGTATTTGATGAAACATTCATGCTTAAAACTTCTACAGATAAAGAGAAGCTCAATTTAGACGAGGCCAGACGTAAGAGCCAAGTGGTGCAAGTAGAGCTAGACAATGTTAACACAGAAATTAATGCTCAGGGAGCAGATAGTTATGGGTCAGAGGTGGAGTAGTATCATAGTGTTGCTTTAAATAGACCACGTCGCACTATCAAGCCACCAGCAAAGTATGGATTCGAGGATTCGATTTTTTATACACTCATTACCAGCAATAGCGATCCTATAACTTTTCAAGATGCCATTGGTAGTCAGAAGAAAGGTAAATGGATAGAGGCTATGATGGAGGAAATTGAATCAATGCATAAAAATGATACTTGGGATTTGGTGGAGCTTCAAGAGGGTAAGAAACAGATAGGGTGTAAGTGGGTGTACAGAAAGAAAGAAGCAATGTCAGAAAAGGAAGGAGAAAGATACAAGGCTCGATTAGTAGCAAAGGGATACTCATAGAGGAAATGAGTAGATTATGATGAAATTTTCTCCTCGGTCATCAGACACACCTCCATCAGGATTGTTTTAGCAATGGTGGCTAATTTTGATTTGGAGTTAGAGCAGTTGGATGTGAAGACTACTTTCCTTCATGATGATTTGGAGTAACAAATTTTCATGGAGCAACTAGAAGGGTTTTTGGAATTGTGTGTAAACTGAAAAAGTCTTTATACGGGCTTAAGCAGTCTCCACGGCAATGGTATAAGAAGTTCGACTCTCATATGATTCAGATTGGCTACAGTCATTGTGAGTATGATTGTTACGTTTACTACAGAGTTATCGAGGATAACTCATATATTTTCTTAATGTTGTATGTGGACGACATGCTAATTGCTGCTAAGAACATTGATGAGGTAGACAAATTGAAATCTTTGTTGAGCAGTAAGTTTGATATGAAAGACTTGGGATCGGCTAAGAAAATTCTTAGCATGAAGATCAACAGAGATAGGAGAGCCAGAAAATTATGGGTAACTCAGAAAAATTATTTGAAG